CCGGTGCCTGTGACTGCGTGTCGCATGTCTGAAGGCGGAAACTCTGTTGTGTCGCCCCCTTCACAGGGCGTTACGATGTAATCCATCCCTGCCTAGTTCAAAGCCCCGAAGCACCGTAACAGTGAGCTGCAGTACCCAACGAAACAAGGAAAAAGCATTGCCAAACACAGTGAGTAGCACAGAAAAACCTTGCGAAATGACGAAGCTTCGCATTTCAGTAACCTGGAAATTCTCGAACGCAGACAAACGTCGATACCTCGCTGCCCTTTGAACCCTGCTCCTCGGTAGCTTGTAGAAGTGAGTGTTGCCACAGCCGCTGCACAGGTCTCAAATGCATGAAACATGAAAGAAGTGTAAATGGGTGCAGGACGACCGGACTTCCGCCCAGCGTAGCCTCGCGCTTAAATTAAAGCAGAGCGGAGAAGGCCTAAGAACCACGAACTAACCCAGCCCCGAGGAGAAAGGCAGCGATGGCAGTGCCACTCAGCATATAGCCATCGGCAGCCTGCAACTGGTTTCAGAACGCGCATGCTCGTATAGTAAGTCGGCTAGTGTAGCCTCACATGTGGCTAACGCTGGCAGCCGGACTCCGACAATCGACTGAAGACATCAGGACTGCACGCTGCTAGTAGTTTGAGCACAGCCAGGCGGCAACCCCCTGAAGTGCGTTTCTACGTTAGCGTCTGCCTGACCAGTCAGAGGCCTCGCCAACAGCCATTAAGACCGCGTTCCAAGCCACCATGCCGCGGCTCTCATGAGAGGGATTGCTTTGTAGCAAGCCCCAATTAGAAATAAGAAACCACTCGGCGTCTACATGGAGCCACCAAGCGCAATAAGAAAGTATCTAGCAGTGACGGTTCCGCCGCAAGTGCGCGCCTACATCCAGCGATATAAAAGGGCTGCGGGAAGCGGGCGGGCCAGTTGTTGCGTGTGGCATCATTTCCATAGCTTGGTCGCTCAAGTGCCGGAGAGAACCCTAATACAACTGCTCCTCCAGCTGTGCAAACAAAAAAGCTCATGCGTAAGGAGCCGCAGTTTTGTTAAAGCAGCGCATGTCATGTCGTCGACTGGATTGCCAAGGTCTGTGTAGTGTCACTTCCCGTCGTGTCGAGCCGACGGACAATTTGTGCTGCGTCACTCTCTACCGATGTCGAACCGTCACGAGGTCATCAGCCCATGTCGCCGTTCGTCGTCGAAACAGCAGTGCAGTAGGGCATAAAGCGGGTCGTCGTCTGAGTTGCAGGCCAGGTCCTGACAGTAGTGCACTGCAGTGTTGATCATGCGGTGGGGCGCCGTCTGAAGTGAAGTACTCCTAATGCGACTTGGGTATCTGCTTCCCCCCGTCGAGTCCAGTGACGAAGTCCATCCTGCAAAAGTTCTGCTACGTTGTCCACTTCAGCGAGAGCCCGCTCCGCACGAGAAAGGAGTACGGGGAAGGCGGTCCAGTTCCTGGGGAGTGCACGCTGGCACCAGCGCCTGACTCTCTGCCGATCGCCCGTCCTTGCACAAAACGTGTCTGTACCAGCTCCCGCATGTCGCTGTAGGCTCAACTGCGTCAAGTGAGTCAGGAGATTGCCTGGTGGCACAGGCAATCTGGCCGGGCGCCGCGGCATCGTTTGGAGGGCCGTGCGCCAAACTCCCCAACAATCAGGACAAAGGGAAATCGCATCCAGTGCACCCGCATGGAGAAGCAGACGTCGGAAGGTCACTTTCGTTGGTTCTTTTTTTTGCGCACCTCTTTTACGTCCGTCCACCCGATCGCTCCGCCTCGTCGCCCAGCTCGGGCGACTTCGAGCCCAGCGTGCTCCTGCCGCTAGCTAGGGCTGCGCCGCTGGTGGTGTCTGCTAAGCGTTGCTCTGCATAGCACCCTTGCTGCAACGCTGCTTGGAATGCGATACATCAATGGAGCCATGCCGCGCCTGGTTGCCAGCGCCCTGCGCTCGGGGACGTGCTGCACGACGCAGTCCCTCCCACCCCGAGCCGCCTGCTGTAGCTTGCAGTTGCACGGGGACCCGGACTTTCTTGGGCAGTCGTAAAAAGTGCGACAAAAAAGTCACTGCTCCCAAACACCTGTTGCAGATCCAAGTTGCCAAAACGGGCCCATTTGCCAGGACAAGCCTCGCTGTGTGGAACAGCTGTGCGACGCGCCGCCGCCGCCGCCGCCGCATGGAACGACCATGGAGTCCAGCCGAAACGTACCAAACAGGTTGAAGCTGGAGAGCGCCTTGTATGGCCCAACAGCATCAGGGCAACCTTGCGTTGGGGCATCAGATATGGAATGGCTGCCACAAGGAACCACAAGAGTGGATCAATGTGTTGACACCATACTTATCAAGCAATGACGCCGGAACCTATTGCAGCGCCCCCATTTTACAAACAAGCCAATCTTCCGCGCTTGTCTTCAAGATCCAACAAGGGAAAGGCCCACGCAACCAGCGGGCGTCAGAAGAGCGCCCAGGTACAGGTACCGATCGGTGCGAGGCAGAGGTTTTCCACGCAGCATGAGCCGCAGGTCAGCTGAGTTGGCCTTCATTACGACAACAAATCTCTCGACGCCAAAGTTGAATGTCATGCGGATGCTCCTGCCCAATGCTCCGCAGCATCCAGAACTGTTTGTGCACGCGCCGGGCCTGCACTCACCAAGGGTATATCATCCACATAGCCAGCTCCAGGGATTTTTTTTTCGCGCCTTTTTGCGTCCGCTCGAACTGTTCCAACGCCGTCTAAGCTACCTAGCTGTCTCTAGTGCGTCGCACTATCGGAGCGGCAGCCGACTGGGGGCGCTCGCATTCGCAAGTTCAAGCACGTCGCCAAGTGGAAGCACGTCAGGCGCACCAGGCAGCGGCGGCATGGACCATACGCCAAGAACAGACCTGGCGACGGCTCGCTGCAGGGCTACCGACAGCACACTCCACCAGCGGCGTGCCCAGCCTTGGGCTGCGGAGGCTCGCAAGGGCGGCGGGGCTCTTTGGACCCGGAGCCGGGGCAAAGTACGGAGGAACTGCTGACACTCGTCGCTCCAGCGCCCCCCGACTTCAGCAGCGAGGACAAGGAGCCGTTGAGGCCCGCCACGGGTGAGCTCCGGGTATCGCGCGAGTTTGCGTCGTCGCGCCGCAGCAAGTGCGAATAAGTGCGACTCCCGCCCGCGCGTCAGCACCCGAGACGGGGCGACCAGCACGGGTAAGTGGGGACACCAGCGTGGCATCGCAGCACAAAGCCTCGCCAATAGTCGTCGCCGTAGACAACGAAATCGAGGCGGCGACGGTCGTCGGCGTGGACTTGCGGCGCAGTAGTGCGCGCAAGCCACTGTTGCGGGACAACCCGACATTCCGGGCCAACAGCCTCGCGAGCGACCTGCACCCATTGCAGGCTCACTCGACCACGAACCCGCGTCTTGGCAACCTGTGCGGCCTTCCGCGCCGCAGTGCCGGCCGGATATGGGCAAGCGCAGCCGCAGGCGACGCCTCAGCGCTAGGTGCATGAGGTCGGGCGTGAGTGTAGTCGCCGCATCAGAAGGGATGGCCGCCAGCCACATTCCCGCATGAGGACCGGACTGGGAGTGAAGGAAGGCACGAACTGAAGGAGTCAAGGCTGGGAGCAAGTCGCAGTCTCGAAAGGAAGTGTGACGTGCGAGAGCCGCTTGTGTTGGGGCCACGGCGCCTTGAACGCAGGCAGCCCAATCCGGTCTACGCGCCCAGCCAACGCCAGTGAGTTGGCGTGCTGCGTCGGCGACTGCAGGCAGGCACGGCGACACCGGCTCGCCCTCGAGTTCGCGCACGAGCCGGTCTGCTGCGTCGGGGTATCGTTGGTGCAACACCGGGAGTGCATCTGCCCACGCCCATCGCTGTCCCACCACAGGTAAGTGGAGGTGCGCGCGTACATGGCTCGGGCAAATGGCATGAGCGGCGGGACGGACTCTCGTCCGCAACCCCGGGGGCAAACTTATGTTTTGCAAGGATACGGTGCTCATGAATATGCGGTAAACGGCGCAAGCACACGACCGCCGGCCGGCGGACGACAGAAAGCAGATCGACCGTCCAAGAAAACGACTACGCAGCTCACCAGGTTTGCTGAGCGCATGCTCAGCAAATCTCCCGAAAAAACAACACTTACATCAGTGCCTTTACTACCACCCAGTTGCCAGGGGCATGCCTGAGCACGGATGGGTGGCCAAATGCGACGGAACAAGATCCTGTTTGAGGCCAAGTGGCATGAGCGAGATGGGCCTGTGGGACTCAATCCGTTGCCGTGGTTTCCCTGGCGTCGTGAGCGGCAGAACAACAACAAAGCCCGAAGTGGTGCGCAAATGGTCCGTCAAAATGACAAGGTTCAGCAATCCAATGAAGCATAGCAAGCCCGCAAAGCCTCCGACAGCAAGCCCGAAATAAGGAGGCAGACAAGGAGGCACTGTGGACCAACCGTGGTAGAAATCAAGAATGTGCTCCGGAGCAAGATCCCCTCACCCAAACGGTTTTGACAGGCCCCCCCTCGAATATACACTAACCGGCCGGGGGGAATGTATAATATTAGGGGGTTGGCAGGGTTCTCGTTTGCGACAGTTTTCGAAGTTCTCACAACTTCACACTGGCTTCACATGCACTCGTTCACACTGGCTTCGTGATGCCAGGGTGCTTGCAAGACTTGACAGAGGAGGCTAGAGTTCTGTTGCTGCCGCACCGCCGCTACAACTTGGAAGCTGAACTTCTCCCCGGCAACGTTGGCTTCTACAGGCGGGTGGCCAGGGGAGTGCCAGGGGTCACGTGCGGTAGTGTTCTGCCGAAGAATTGCACACGACCTGAGATTGGAGCTGGCTCCAGCACTTATGGCATTCTTTCCCACCGAACCCTAAAAATTGGCCCTGAGGCAACCCCCCCTTCTCGGGGCCGAAAGGGGGGGCTTGGTGGACCCTAGAAATTGGCCCTGAGGCAACCCCCCCCTTCTCGGGGCCGAAAGGGGGGGGTTGGTGGCCGGGTTTGGGCCGTCGTACTGATATCCTGTACATGTGCTGCAAACCTAGCTCGGGCAGGCTGGACTGGCAAACTCAGTCGGACTACTGGCTGGTGTTCCTGCACGAGGTCAGCGCGTTTCTGCAGCACGGTGATGCTGAGACGTTCCCAGGACCGCAGCCACAAAGCCAGCACAGCACCGTAACACGTTCGTCTTTGGCTGCTGCTGCTGCTACTACTACTACTACTACGACTACTTCTTCTTCTACTACTACTGCTGTTGTCAGGCTTGTCACGGGAGTCGCGGATGGAGCTCGTCCACGAGGATCCCATGTCCTTGTTGGTGAGATCAAGGTACAGACCGCTGGTGGAGCACATTTGGCAACATGAGCGGCAGGCTCTGCAGGACCGGTTGGGCGTGGCTGGGTGCAGTGCAAGCACTCTCCTGTAGCAGTGTTGATGTAGTGTTGATGTCTTCTCTGTCTCGTCATCCACAACCAAAACTAGTGGGACATTCCACGATTGTGTCTTGTACCCAGTCAGCTACGAGAGCGTGTAGATACTATGAGTATATTATGTGTCGAGGTCGGGGAGAGTTGTCTGGGAATCCTCGAGTTTTCCTAGGAGTGAACCAAGGCCGAAATGTATATTTGGCGGGGGTTTGGGAACGAGACCCCCCGAAATATACATTACGTGCGCGTAGCTCTCGGTAGTCTCTCGGCAAAGGAGCCTGGCAGCAGTCGGGTTGCGCGTTCGGTTTGTTGTGAGAGTGTTGTCAGCATTCTCAGGAGTGAACCACAGCTGGAATGTATATTTGGGGGGGGTTTGGAAACCAGAACCCCCCGAAGTATACATTACGCGTGTCTAGCTTTCCGTAAGCGTCGGTAAGTGAGCCTGGCAGCAGTCTGGCACCAGTCGCGGGCCCTTTCTCAGAAAAGGACCCTAGATCGAGCAACATGTCTTCTTACCCAACCTTGCATAAAAAACCAGATTCATAGGGACTTGGGTACAAGCTCGGGCTGGCAAACCCTGCTGTAATGTATATTTGGGGGGGGTTGGGACCAAGCCCCCTCCAAATATACATTACGTGTGCCTGGCTCTCGGTGAATGAGTAGTCTATGGAGTTCTAGCACTGTTCTAGTAGTGTTCTGGTAGAGTCCAATAAGAGGTTCAGTATAGATTTTGTAGGTGTTCCGATGTGTTCTGTGTTTTGCAAGCCTCCTCGTGCATTCCTGGGAGTGAGCCAGGGCTGAGATGTATATTTGGGGGGGGGGTTGGGACCAAGACCCCCCCAAATATACATTACGTGTGCCTGGTTCCAGGACGGCGGAAGCAAGTGCTGGGAGTTTGAGGCGAGCCAGAACTCCAGCGACCTGCCCGAGGCGTGTTCCACAGCCTGCACGCTTCATTGTCTCCTTCTCATCCGACAGTGGTGGGCTGCGATCTTGGCTGGGCCAGGATCCTAAAAAACCAGGCCATCTCAGAGACTTGTTGCTGCATGGTGCAGCGCTCAGCCAAGTGTACTCGGGAAGAGTGCGGCAGAAACAAGCTGCAGAGATCGGCTGTCCACTGGATGCCTATGTGCTGCCGGACGAAGTTGCCTTCCATGTGACCCGTGGGCTGTTGGCAAGTGATGCTTTGCCATAATTGCGGTAAAGGACATTCCAGCCCATCTCGACCCCCGGGAGGTCCAAAATCCTAAACCCGCCTAGTTGTAGTAGCAGTAATGTAGCAGTGGTCGTAGTAGTGGTGGTGGTAGTAGTAGGAGTAGTGGAGTAGTTGTTGTTGGCAAAGCCAGTCGTCCACTAGTGGTTGTGCACCGGTGTCGTGCTATGCACCGCTACGACTTGTCCAAGCCACCTCGGCGCCAAAGGAAGCGAGCGGCATAGTGCTTTCGAAACATGTTGCATCGCAGACCTCTGGCAGCCAGCAGAAATGTATATCAGCCCCCCCTCGAAATCGAATTATCTGGCCCGGGCCAAAGAAATGTATTTCTTCAACTGCTGTACCCCCCCCCCCGATATACATTCTTATCTTAGGCGTGGCCCTGGAGCAAGTTTTGCCGTCTGATTATTTTTGTCATCAAGGACTTCCTCGCCGACTGTACTGAGATTGAAGGCAGCGGCCTTAGGCTTGCACTACACGGTGTACATTGCGGCAGATAGCCAAGCGCCGTCGATTGAATTTGCGCAAGAAACGACACACGCGGCGCCGGTGCTTCCGATGCAAGCTGGAGCTGCGGGAACTGCGCATCCTGCCAATAGCACCACGCAAGGTTCGGGGAAAACGCCCCGACATTTCCGAAGGGCACCAGACCTAGCAAAACGCTATAACGTAGTCGTGGTAGTAGCAGCAGTACGGTAGCAGCAGCAGTGGTAGAAATAGTTGAAGTTGTAGTCGTCGTCGTAATAGTAAAAAAAGTAGAAATAAAAGTAGCAGTAGTGCCAGTAGTGCTAGTAGTAGTAATCGTAATAGTAGTGGCAGTATTAGTAGTAGTAGTAGCAGCAGCAGCAGTAGTAGTAGTAGTAGCAGCAGTACGGTAGTAGCAGCAACAATAGTACTTGTAGAAGTAGTTCAAGTAGTAGTAGTAGTAGTAGTAGTAGTAGTAGTAGTAGTAGTAGTAGTAGTAGTAGTAGTAGTAGTAGTACTAGTAGTAGTAGTACTAGTAGTAGCAGTAGCACTAGTAGTAGCAATAGCAGTAGCAGTAGTAGTAGCAGTAGTAGTAGTAGTAGTAGTGGTAGTAGTAATAATAATAATAGTAGTAGTAGTAGGGGTGGTGGTGGTGGTAGCCGTTGTTTTTGTAGGACTGATAGCGGTCGTGGTGGTGGTGGTGGTGGTAGTAGTAGTGGTGGTGGCAAGAATAGAAGGAGGAGGAGGAGGAGGAGGAGGAGTGGAGTGCTCCGAGGCCATGCTTCCATTTCAGTCATGTACATGTTCGCAGTTTCGTTTATGTTGTTCTTTGCTTGCGTGTTGTTATAGTCTCGAATGCTTGATGTATGTGACGATTGAATGTTAGCATGTTTCACGTTCTGACCACAACCGTTGGTCGTTCAAGGACAAGCCTCTCTCCAAGCAATGGACACAACACACAAAAAAGAAGCAGCCCCGAGTTCTGTAGCTGCTCGGCTTGACAGGTTCTGCTTAGAAAAATGTTATCTTAACACCCCTACACCACGCAACTCGTGCGACGCGTTCAAAACTGACCGCCCCTGTCACCGCCTAATTAAGCCACGCGTGGCTTACATTGGGCGATACTATGTTGGCTTTTCTCCCTGGACTGCCTCCACATTACAGGCAAAATTTGATGTTCGGAAACTGTGCAGGAGTCGTGTGACAAAGCTCCCAGGGCCGTTCCGCCGACAACATGCGGCACTGCAGTCGCCAGCATGCCCCACCACCTGCGCATGCAGGCAGTGAAAGCGGCTGCTCAAGGAAGGCCGGCGGCATCCAAAAAGCGCCTGCGAGTCGGCATTCCAGCGCCCTCCGACCTCCACAGCTAGGACGAAGAGGCGTTGGCCGCCGCCGCGCTGCAATTCCCGGTGCGTTGCCCGCTTGCGGCTTTCGGCCATGCGCAAGGCGATGCCGGGTGTATGGTCTGCTCATGGGTGCGGGGTGCTGGCTCCGGTGGCTCCGGTGATGGGGCTAACCAGCGTGGCATCGCAACAGAAGGCGAGGCCCGAAGGCGATGTGCCGTACGCCGCATTACGCCGCGAGGTCGAGGCGTCGGCGGTCGGACGTCGAGACTTGCCCGTCCTCGCGGGCTCGCACTGTTGGATTCGCAGTCAGGCCGCTTTGCCGCATTTTGCCGCGAGGGGAACGGGCTGGTCGAAGTCCTTCCTTTTTCTTCGAGCCGTTCTTGCATCCGCCAAACGGGAAGTCCCCGAAAAGATCGCCGGGGTCGTTCCCGGGCGACATAGGGAGCTGCAGGGGCGCGGTGGCATCCTTGAGGCAAAGGCCCGGTGCCATCCAAAGAACGCACCATTTCTGAGCGAAAGCTCGGTCTCGACGCGCAAGGGCGGGGAGCGCATCGGCCCAAAATGCCCATTCAACCGCGACGGCATGGCGCTCGGCGCTGCGAAGTCTGGACGCGTGCGGCAGCCAAAGCTGGCAAACCGGAAACAATATCGGCATGCAACAAGTACTGTGCATGAGGGGCAACACAGAATGAAGAGGTAGCACGTGCGCCTGCCGCCGCGTGGTGTGTTTCGTTTGTTTTTGGGCGGTTTTTTGTGAAAATCTAAAATACCCTGAGTTTTGTGTGGTTTTCGTCAACAAGACGATGTCTCTGATGTTTTCTCCATAGTTTATTGTTTTGGCTTTTGGTTGTGTTTTTTAAACGTTTGTTTCTCGAATTTGTCGCAAGTACCATGCTTCTCGTTTTTGTTTAATATTTTTGGCGATTTTTGGCGTTCGTCGCGAAGTTTTTGTCTGGAAAGCATAGAGAACTCTAGGTTTTTGTATGGTTAACGTTTCAGAAGTGAAGCAACAAGAAGCGGCAACAACGGCTTCACAGAGCAACCGGCAGTGTTTGAGAAGTAACACAACAAAAGAAACAGAAGACACAAGCCGCATTCGCATGGGCGTCATCCCCCCCCACCCCCCGCACCCCGCACAGAGCTGAAAGACAGATGCAAGTCGAAGCCGGCATGTGCAGAAAGTCGAGAGTCGGCAAAAATACTCTAAAAGCCGATGCGAAATGACACACACACACACACACACGCACGCACAGGAAAACACCAAAAAAACGATGCGAAATGAAGAGCCGGGCATGTTTTTGTACAGTGCAACCCACCGGCTGTTGCATATTTTTGCTCGAAAACACCGAAAAAACTGTGCGAACTTTTTGGTCCGTCTTCAAGCAATCTTTCAACTTTCAACAATCACCAACAATCGCCGACATCGATCTCAACAACGAAAGCGGAGCACATGGGCTTGCGAGTCGCTTGTTCCGCTTGCGTGGGTCGGTGAACCTCCTTGCCTCCCGACCACGAGGCTTCCCGACCGGCAAGGTTCGTCGCTTGGTCACACGGCATGCAAGCGCCCTACGCCGTAGCCAAGCAGTGGCCAGCATCAGTCCTGCAGCATACCGTCGTCCTTGCTCTGGCCCCGGAGTTCTCGATGCGTGAGGCGAGCAAGATGTGGGTGAGGCTGCCGTTCCATGCCATTTAAGACTTCATATTCCCTTGCACATCCAAAAACCTCAGCGTTGCGGGTTCCTTGTCGTGTTAGCTGTCTTGCAGCTGCACCCGGCGCAAGAGTTGATGCGATTGCACAGTGGCACGAAGTTATGCACAGTTGGCACGCTCGTGTCAAGCAGATCCGCAAGCCGACTTCGAGCTGTGACTTGGCGACCTTACGTTTGCAGAAGTGTCGGAAGCCAGTCATGGACC